GAATTTATTGATATCTAAACTAAAAAACAAACTTTCAGCGGATCGACCTCGCACTAACTTTTTTGATGAAAACGACACTAGGCCTAAGGTTTGGGTTTGCGTTCCATACCTTGGTAAACAAGGTGAAACTTTAGTTAAAAGTTGCATAAAGAAAATACAAAGATGCCTAACTGTTCCTGTAAATTTTATAGTTGTTTATGACAACAAAAAGTTTTCTTATTTCCTTTCCAACAAAGACAAAATTCCGAATCTTTCGAAATCTAATGTAGTTTATGAGGTGACATGTCCTGGCTGTTCCGCAACGTATATTGGGAAAACAGAAAGACGTTTACAGACGCGACTCGCTGAACATACCAATCCGACCAAAAGTGCTATTGGACAGCATTTTCACAACTGCGAACATGTGCAATACATTGCAAACCTACACTTTGTTTTTGACAAACTTAACAACCCAACTGACGCTGACAATAACGTTTCCACTTTTATTTCCAACTTAATATCTGACAACTCTCGAATTCTTCACACTATTTATTCTCGCACACCTAACTTACTCTTGTTGCTTGAAGCTCTGTATATCAAGTATCATTCACCCAGTTTAAACACTGGACTCAAAGCCAGCAAAGAACTCAAGCTTTTTTCTTAATCTATACACCCACATTTCATCACACTTACATCTCACTGCAACTGTCGCGGTTCTGATTGAGACTTCCGTTAAGCTGTCATCATGCCTTGCCAACTTGTATATAAGACCATGTGTATATTGTAACTTTAGTTAGTCTGATGATGATTTTGTAATAAAATCGAAATATTACTCACTCACTTTCTTGTTTGACTCATATTTTGGGTTTCAAGACGCTTATCTTCGGATTATGTTTTGTATTATATTTCAGTCTAATAAAGTCAACCTTTTTTCTTTGATAATGTACGCAACATGCTGCGCATTTTACATTTAACAAAATAAGTTTTTGAAGCTAAATGAAACGATATGAATATGATTACAATCCGCGCATTATGTATTACGGCTGAAAAGTGTAGAGGTATCATATTCTGTCAAAATAACAGCGGCTAGCGTGCTCGGTTGGCAAATAGCCCGACATGGCGACATCGCACAAATCAATATCATTTCGGTTTTCAATCGCGAAATCCCAAATCGTAGCAATTTATGGAATATTTCCGAACGCCACATACCCTAAGAACAGCGTTAAAACATGAAATGTTTGTCTACTTTTAAGGGCCACGAACATATACTAGGTCTAGGAGATAAAATAGCAAAATTTGAGGCTCGAGCGTTGGCCACTTATACAGCGTAGAATTTATAGCTCAATATGTTTGCATCAGACAGTATGCAATCGACATAGTTATTCGCGACGTTCATGATAGGGACTATAACACTCCCAAAGCTAATAAACCTATATCTTAATATCCTATAACTTAGAACATTTTATCATCAAACAATACATTTATAGACTTTATAATTATTAGACTATTATACGAAACGGAAACATTTACTTGTTATACTATAGATAACAGCAAGATAAGAAATAATTTTATTCCTGGAGATTTGTTGCGTTAAATTTTCCTGTATTTATCTAGCGCATAAAAGGAAAAAGTACGAAAAAAATATTAAAAATAAAAATATGAAAAAATGCGTTTTTAGCACATTTTATACGACTTTACCCACGACTTTACCCACGACTTTATCCACGACACACGACTTTTAACCCACGACACACGACATATAGGGACACTCTAAAAGGAGGGATCCCACAAGGAAGTAAATTGCATGGCCACCTGGCCTTCATTATAAAGATTAACCATTATCCACGACACACGACTTTTAACCCACGACACACGACATATAGGGACACTCTAAAAGGAGGGATCCCACAAGGAAGTAAATTGCATGGCCACCTGGCCTTCATTATAAAGATTAACCAGCTGGCCAATGTTGTTGAAACACCAAAAGATGATCAGAATGGAGGTTCTGACCAAGACGACATTGTTATATTTATGGATGACACTACTTTATCCGAGGTGATTGATGTCACTAATCATGTATCTGGAAATTGCATCGGAAATAGTCAAAATAATATTGATAACATAATTCGGTTCACGGGAAATGAGCAAATGGAATTGAACGCTAAGAAATGCAATGAAAAGGTAGTAGATTTTAGAAAGATTAAGACTGTAATCCCTCCTGTCTGCATTGGGCAACAACCTATGTCTGGAGTGAAAACGTACAAGTTATTGGGACTCTGGATAGACGATGATCTAAATTTGCAATCTAATACAGAGTACATTATTAAGAAAGCAACCAAACGTCTATATTTTTTTAAGGTTCTTAAGGGTTATGGCGCACCAAAATATGACCTCAAGACCTTTTATTGCTGTGTTATCAGATCAACCTTGGAGTATGGTGCCCAGGTATCGGGAACGGCAACTTGACGCAAGCACATGCAGCGTAATGATATTGAAAGAGTACAGAAACGAGCTTTGAGGATAATTGTTCCTGAATATGAGTATAATCGTGCGCTTCAAGAATGTGAACTAAAAACGTTACAGGAACGTAGAGATGATTTATGTGTTCGTCTCATCAAGCAGATGTCAGAGCCATCACATAAATTACATTCATTGCTTCCTAGGAAATGCTCTGAGCTAAAAGGAAGAGAAACTAGAACAAATCCGGACAAATTTTACAACTTCTTCTGCAGAACTGAAAGATTTAAATGCAGTCCGTTAGTATATGCAATAGATAAATATAACGATAGGCTAAAACTGTAGTTTTTAAATTGAGAATTAATATGATGCTAACAAGAAATTATGTTGTCAGGTGGGCAGATTGTGTTTGGAATATAAGAGCACAGGCGGCCCAATCTCGCAAGGGTCAGTATAGACTTATAGTATAAATGTATATTATATTATATTAATGTATATTATAGTAAAAATATGTCGTAAAATATAAATTTTAAAATGAAATTGACTTGCCTATTTGATAGTGTGTGTTCTCCTTTTATTCCTCCTTTGTTGGACTAATATTTTCCGAGACTTTGCACTCGATGTTACTAGTATACATGAAACATGATAAAGGCTAGCCATTCCCGATCGTCGATACGACGGCACGGCACTTCGAATCGAAAAATTTCACACTCAAATCGCTTTATTCTCCAAAAAAATTCGCCAGCATGTACAACAAATGCCGTTCTTCGAAAATACGGAGGTACTTCGGCGAGATGTACAAGTTTTGGGCCATATTTTAACAATGGAAATCAAAACCCATTTTATATTGAACTTACCCGGACCGAAAATTACTACGGCGAACGTCTGCGCAACCAGGCCTCCTTTACCGTTGGATTTACAGGGGGGGAAGATGTCACTAATATATTCACGATAATATTTCGAATTAAAGTATCATATTCTACCATACTTTCCAACAAAGAGCCGCTGTATATTACTTCTTCCTTAAATTTCTTCTATCTCCGTCGTTTAATTTTCTCTTATTGTTTAATCATCTCGAGTTTTATACAGTATCCGATCGAAGGAGTTTTTATTTTGAATATCAAATTTCAAATAATGTAAACAGTCGCTACGCGGCCGCGATTGGCTGGCTGTTACCGGAAATATCTGCTTCCCCCCTGTAAATCCAACGGTAAAGGAGGCCTGGTTGCGCAGACGTTCGCCGTAGTAATTTTCGGTCCGGGTAAGTTCAACATAAAATGGGTTTTGATTTCCATTGTTAAAATATGGTCCAAAACTTGTACATCTCGCCGAAATACCTCTGTATTTTCGAAGAACGGCATTTGTTGTACATGCTGGCGAATTTTTTTTGAGAATAAAGCGATTTGAGTGTGAGAATTTTCGATTCGAAGTGCCGTGCGGTCGTATCGACGATCGGGAATCGTTAGCCTTTATCATGTTTCATGTATACTAGTAATATCGAGTACAAAGTCTCGGAAAATATTAGTCCAACAAAGGAGGAATAAAAGGAGAACACACACTATCAAATAGGCAAGTCAATTTCATTTTAAAATTTATATTTTACGACATATTTTTACTATAATATACATTAATATAATATAATATAATATACATTTATACTATAAGTCTATACTGACCCTTGCGAGATTGGGCCGCCTGTGATAAGAGTAGTGTAATTGGCGATCATCTTAACCTAAATACTAATGTTTAGAAATATTTTAGTCGTATTTTAGATATAATTTTGTATATGCATGTAATATTCTAGTTTTAACAAGTAGTTGAACTAAATTGTAAACACATTATAATTTAGCGTACCCGCTATTGAAATGTGGGAAATAAAGCCATTATTATTATTATTATAAGTATCAAACGAATAATGCAGCGACAACCGCGATGATGCTTTGATAAATGCATGGATAATTAATTCATTTTATTTCGGATATCGAAGTCCGATCCGACTACGAAACAACTTTATCAATCCGATCCGAAATCAATATTTTGGTTCCGAAATCCGAACGAATCCGATCGGATTCGGATCGGTTTCGGATCGGATTTGCACACCTCTAATAGCTATAGCTAATACCAATATTTAAATTAAACAGAGTTCGTAAAAACCTAATAAATATATTACTTTTTTACTAGTATATACTGTTTCATTGTTTGTGTTGTGTGAACAGACCAAGCTCTCTTCTCAATTTATAATATATTAACGATTTGCTTTTGTACTGCTCCAATTTTTCAATCAATGTATGTCGTCTCTTTCTTGAACTTGTAACTTTGAAGCAATTATCCATACACCCCCTTTTGTAGTCAACGCATATTGTACACTGCGTGACCCCACTACATATTCCGTGGCATTGTCGGAAATTCGATATACATATGTTGATACAGTTATCGCCGTCCACACTGACGAGAAGTGCCGTTACTAACAGACCAAAAACGACAATCGTTTGTGCCATAACTATTCTAGAAAAGAAATCATGTAAGAATAAGTAATCATAAAATTGAACACAACGCTCATCAGTGCAACTTGTGAGCTAATCTCATCTTATTTGAAAAACTATATAGTCCATCAAAAGGTTATATTTATGGTTATGACGTCACTTCTTGTACTACAAGGTGTGTAAAAATAGAAAAGTATAAACCTGTTGTTTGTGTAAGGTATTTTCCTTTGTTTTTATGATAATTATTGAGCAATGTCATCAATCAAGGTGCAGCAATGTATATTAAGTATTATTTGGATGTATATGCGCAAGTCGGGAATTATTTCAATGCACTCTGTTCAGAAACCTACTCATTCTTATAATAATAATAATAATAATAATATTAATAATAATAATAAATAATAATAGTTTATTAGAACTCTCTTGCAGTTACAAAAAACTGAATTAACGAGTACTTTACAATGGATAGAAATAAGTTATAAAATAGTACATGAATATGCTTTAGAATCTAGGCTATTTACAAGAGTTAAAATCATTAGGCATTTACCAAAATAGTAAATAGTGCATGCACAATTATTTACAAATTATCATATATATTAAAAAATCTTAACATATTAAGAGTATTTAAATGTAAAAAAAGATTGAGCTTTAATTGTTCTGCAATGAGTAACATTAAATATAGGTAAGATCGATCAGTGTTCTGTCTCAAATTAATATCATGGTCAGGAACAACAGGGATTGGCAATAAAGGAGTGGCCAAGTTTTTCTGACATATTTGGATTCTTTTTGTGCTTAAAGTTGGTAGTTGTGCAAAATTCAGGGCCTCTGCATATGATTCATTCTCCGAGAACATTATCTTTAGTGCTCGTTTTTGCACCGACTCAATTTCCTTCGATAGATAATCCGGAATGTTTTGCCAAATAGGAACGGCGTACTCAAGTACCGGTCTTACTGTGCACAGGTACACTTTCAGTAAATTCTTTTAGTCCGACCCCAGCTCTTCGCATGCAGGACTCTTAAAGGGTATAGTTTTTTGTTAGCCTTCTTAACAATGTATTCAATATCAGGATTCCATTTTAAGTCGCTACTCAAAATGACACCCAAAGATTTATACGTTATCACACGTTCAATAATATTGTTACCAATTTGGATTGGTCGGAGTAAGAAATTGGGGTTATGTAGGAAGTTTATAAGCATTTCCTTACACTTCTTAGGATTGAGCTTCATGTTATGCTCATTAACAAATTCATGTATATCAGAGACTGCAAATTAAGGAGGCTGGTAGAGTTCCTGGGAATAATCTCGAGGGCTGAAGTATCATCCACGAATTTTGTACGAAGACACCAATTAGCCAGTAAGCTATTTAATTTAATTTAATTTAATTTAATTTAATTTAATTTAATAAGATTCGGCTGCTATTTAAATACAACATATAGAGCCAGGGAATTCGCCACAGGTTTCCCCAATTACGGCGATCCCATATAAACAAGAATAAAATTACTGTACAAAACAAATTTTCAAGCAACTCAACAAGCTAAAACTAATAAGGCTAACAACAACTTATTTCATTGTTAAGCGATCTTGCTCTTTTGCACTTTACACACACTGATTTCCAGGTGCGCGGATCGTCACATTTGAATGTTTTGGATAGTGCATGTTTGTAGTAGAGTTTAAGACCTGATTTAAAAGACAGCAAACCTATATCTCTAGTACGCAAGTTACTATCTAATATGTTCCACGTTTTGCAAGTTCTTATAAAAAATGAGGTCTGGAATGTTACGGTTTTCGCATAAGGAATAACAAATCTAATTAGGTTTGCGTTGGATTCACTTCTTGTAATTCCTGATCCAGCCATGATCGGTAGAACACGTTCGTCAATGTACGTAAGACTGTTGATGTACGTAAGACTGTTGTTATTTGTCATGACCATAAAAAGTACTACTCCGAGTTTAGTCCCTTGGGGTATTCCTCCCTTCAGAGTTTGCCATTGGGAAAGGACACTTCCAATTCTAACAGCGTATCGAAATTACAACATGCACATACAGACAGACAGACAGACAGACAGACAGACAGACAGACAGACAGACAGACAGACAGACAGACAGACAGACAGACAGACAGACAGACAGACAGACAGACAGACAGACAGACAGACAGACAGACAGACAGACAGACAGACAGACAGACACAAGATCGAGATCTCGACAATACATAGATCGCGCGAAAGACTTGGTCGAGTGGTCTCTGGAGAAACCACCACGTGTCAAGAATAGTGTGCTGCGCGCTACGCTCGGCAGCAATAAACATGAGGATAGCTGGACCAGTGGCAGTGAAAGAAAGTGTTGTTAAGAAATTAAAAACATTTAGTTTGCCCATGGATCATGCATGAAGACACTGGATAGGAACTCGTGGTTACACATGTTTTCATCGTGCTCATACATGGCGTCTGAACCTAGTTGAAAATTATGACATCACTAAAACCAAAATTATTCCACATTTGGCCATAATACAGCTGAGCATTTTAGTCAAAAACCGTAGAATACAATCTTGCATGCCACTCTACGATGGAATATCTATACTGATATTCTTGGTCATTTTCAGGGAATAAATCAAGTATTAGACGGTGAAATACGAGTCACAACAGTAGTTTTTGTGACGCCAATTTTTTTTATTACGAAAGTAAAAAACCTAAAACAAAGACGAACAACGTTTACCTCGAATACTTTGCGGTAGCACAGGCAGGCAGGTTTAAAAGACAGTAAAGCCATTTTGAATCTCAATATGGCTATCGTAGGAAAATGGAAGAAAAACATCACGAATTTCAAATATATAGGTCACAGCTATTTCCTATCCGTTTTTTAACGTACAATGCATGCATGGTTCTCATAACCTTTCCTTGACAATGCTGAAATTATATAGCCTAAACTGTGCTGAACACATTATATACGTACGAGGCTACGAGCCACTATGTCGTAACTGTACGAGTAAATATTGTAACACATGTATAGCTTGTTCGGCGAATAACTCCTTATAATAATTTTAAATAGACCTGCAGTTGAGTCCAATATATCGCCAACTATGCATAAAGACATTGTTTTAAAAAGTGACAGTTTAGTAAGGACGGTCGTATACTATGAATTTTAGACGACAATGCATCGTCATTCGTCAAACATAAATTTGATTTTTTTTATCTATGTCTGTTATAAATCGGACAAAATTTAATTAGTGCGTATATATACTCAAAACCAGAGAATTAGTTTTTAGCTCATCAGTTGAACCATTCCTCTTTGAAACTATGGAAATTTAACTATACATAAAGTTTAAAATATAGATACCTTTCTATTTCCTTGATTTTCACTAGTTACCTCTTGTCTTGAATTGCTGCAGTTTCTAAATGAAATTTTTCGCTTCGCTAGCAATATTTATAACAGCAAAACACCGGAAATTGTTCTTCAATTCAAGACCCTCGCTGTATAAGGCCAAGTAAAAAAAATATTCCCGGTTTCTCATCAGCGCCCGCATTAGGAAATAGCCGCCGCATTTGTATTTTTTTTTTTTATAAACAACAATTACATGAAATATTTAGCGGTGGGTGGTCAGCAGTGTTTATGCAAATGGCCGCCAACCTCATGTTGTTTTTTATATAAATACTGTATTTTAAATAAATATACATGGACATGGCATAGTAGAATAGTGGTTTTTATTAAACAATTCTTTATTATTATTATTATTATATTATTATTATTCTGTTGTTAAAAAAACTGGTTGTGTAATATAAAAAATTTAAAAAAACCGCCCGCCGCATTTGTTTTTAAAAAACGTCTGATGAGAAACCGGGAATTTTTTTTACTTGGCCTAAAGACCAGAATAATATCAATATCCCTACCTCCTACGCAGGCCCTTTTCCGGCAAATCTGTGGGCGGTGCAAATTTGCGGGCCACTTTTAGAAACGTAAAGCGAAAGACGAAGGGCCTGCCATATAACGTGTCGAAAATCGGGAATATGTGTCGAAAATCGGGAATCCAAAAAAATGCCTTTGAAATTTCGTCCATCATTAGTTCAAATTAATTTCTCACGTAAGCTGGGTTAATTCTGGACTTGCTGACAAAAAATCAAATGGAAATACGGCAAATAAAGAAAGAAATCGATATACGGCCGGCGTCATATTTAGACGCGAATGCAGAAAACACAGAGAAATATTATTAGTCGGTGGGGCTACCTGTGGTGCCCACCGACTCTAGGTTTGCCCTTTGGTACGCCACAAAATGACAAGTTACGTCATTTTAATTACGTAATTAAATTACGTAAAAAAAAATTAATTACGTAATTCTTACGAAATAAAAATCAAAATGGCGACCATGGAATAGCGCATAGATATAGGAGATCTAGATTGCTAACGCATACCTAGCGCAGGCGGGGCCTACATGATAAATCCAAGATGGCGCTACAACAGGGCAAAAAGACTATAAATTCTATTACGAAAATCAGGATTTTTGCATTTTTTGCCGTCGCATTGTCTCGAAACTTATTTGGTCAAATTTTATAGTAAAGAGAAACTTACCGCGAAGATTTTGAGCATATATATGATTGAATTGGATGAAAACTCGCAAAATTATCCATCGATAAAAGTTCGTGTATAGTACTGATATAGTACAATATATGTAACTTGTACAGTTTTGCTTTAATTTTTGC